TAGCAGTCGAAAAATCTTAATTTTCTTGTGTGAGCACTGAAAATAACTGTAGAAGGAAAGAAGAAAATTAGGGAGAAAAGTAAGCAAAAATTTGCAGGGAAATTGGGCTGTCAGACGTACCAAGATGTTCAAAAGTTGGACGCTTTCGAATATACTTTCAGGATACTTCAAAGAATTTAGGTGTTCAAAGAGAAAAACACTTGGACGAGTACACCAGCAAATACCATCAATTGAGCTTGTGTTAACAGAAAAGACAAAAAGATATCATTGCAGATTAAAGTGAAGAGCGACTGGTTTTAAACTATATGGTTGTGTAAATTACGTTATAGAACATCATATCGTATCATAAATGGTGAATCCCATGATTTCCTCAGTCGAATTATTTGAAGATTCAGGAGTTTATCCAGTGATGTATGTGGATGTCACTTAAAGATGTTTTTTTCCCTTCCTGATGAAACAGCGGCCGAGAGGTAAAGTCGCTGAACACTGGTAGTTCGGTCCGAGGTTCGAATCCCGCGAACGGGCTGGCTGCATGGGCGTTTTCGTGGTTTTCCCCATGTGTAACGTGTATGCGAGCCAGTTTCCATTAGAAAGTCCTCCAGGAAGGCATCCCTCCCCTTAGGCAGATAGCCGTAGTGTGCTTTGTCATAATAATAATAAACCAAAACCTTTTGATGAAACCAGTCTTTCCTTTCATCTCATAGCTTCAAAATGTTTAGCCTCTAAAGACTGATAAAGGCTCTGACGAAATACTTCGTGAAGAATTTTCTAAGGGAAACCAGCTGTCATACGCGGTACACATAAGAAAATCCACGAAAACGCCCATGCAACCAGCCCGTTTACCGGGGTTCAAACCCCGGAGTGAACTACCACTGTTCAGCAACTTTACCGATCGAACGTTTGTGGGCCTTTATGAAATGGAAGGCGATAACTTTATTTAAAATGATTGTCAGAAATACCAAAATGTTTCGAAAAGTTGGATACTTTTCAATTATACTTTCAGAATGCGTAAAGAAACAGAGAAGAAAAATAAATTTTTTTCGTAAAATTTAGTATTCGTATTTTTTTAAATTTAAAACTTTTCAATCTTATGATATTTGATTCTTGCGATTTCAAAATAAAAATATTTGACTAAAATATGAATAACATTCTAAGAAACCAAATGTAGGATAAAATGTGTAAAGCAATGGGCACAATGATAAAACTGTTTAAAGCAGTGTATGCAAGTCATCCTAAGTTAAAATATCGGTTATACATCTCTCTTATTTATAATATTTTTTTCTGAACGGAACATTGAAAGGCGAACAAACTGTGCTTTACTGCATTTTCTCTTTTAATATAGTATGCAGTTTTCAAACGCATCGTAGTCTGGGTTACAAAGTATTCTTCCGAAAAAAACGCAGTTCAAATAAATAAAATCAAATTCTGGAAAATTGATATAATAATATATTTAAAAATGCTCAGTTCGAAGGGAAATAGAAAAAAAAACTTTTAAAACAATTATCTGAAGAGACAAATGCAACACAAACAATTAAAATAAAAGTATAAAAATTTAAAATGACCTAAAATAATAGCTATGACGAAAAGTATATATAAAGAAAACTATTTGAAAAAAAAAATAAATAAACGCTGCACCTTTATTTACGCAGTTCGAATAGGTAAATAGAAATTTTAAAACAGTTATTCGAAAAAAAAAAAAAAAAAAAAAAAAAAATGTGGCAACTTAAACAATTAAATGAAATTCGAAAGAAAAAATTACTTAAAATAATAAGTTATAATTAAAAATATAATATAAGAATATTATTTGGAAAAAGGAATGATGGTGACTTTTTCCTAAGGAAACTAGGTTGCCATATATTAAGAAGTTCGCAAGTGAAGTATTCTTGGCGCAAACTGACAAAAAAGTGCCAACATAAATTTGTGAATTTCTCCGTAAATTTCGCTCCAAATTTTACAAAATTTCATATTTAGGCGTAATTTGAGTCGTAGAATCGAAATATGTAAAAAAATTGGTATGTTATTTCAGAAAAAGTCCGATTTTGTGTCAAAATACTTATGTTAGAATAGTGCTATATATAAATCTAATATATATCCTAAGTCGCGTTTTTGAGACATGAAGAACGCAATTTGAATTTTGTCAATCGGCCCAGTAGATCGGGAGATATAGGACTGTCCCATTTTTTTTTTTGAGCAGTGTACATTGAAAGAAAGAGAATTCTCGGCGATAAACGAAGTTATTAATACCTCTTGGCGTGCTTTTCTTGTCACTATATAGACAGGGTTAGATAATATAATTGTGCAAGATCAATAATTGCAAGTTACAACTAATGAACGTCTTTCTAGTGACGATCTTAAAGAATTTGTAAAACAAAGAATGCACAAAGATGACAAAATTACTGTTTCTAAAGATAAAGAGCAAACAGGAACTTTCAATAGATTTTCTATAAAACAATTTAGTTAATATCATGGAAACTATGGATCAGTTTATAAAAAATTTTTGATAGAAGTTCACAGGCAAGATGAAGTGTCATTGATGTGATGACTTCACGATTGATAACTACTTGCAGAATAAAACAGGAAAGGGCAAACAATGTTAGATGAGTTCCTCATCAAAGAATTTTTAAAATGTCAAATGAGGAAGAATTTTGCTCATCATAAACATAACTTCTTTACTCAAACTTTTCTTTGATTTTCATGAATGCTTTATGAATAAAAATTTATTAGCAATAAATAAGTTGTGTAACAAAAAGTAAATAATGTAATAAAAAGTAGTTAACTGTAAATGTAACAAAATTAAAAAAAGAGAAAAAAAGAAGAAAAGATTTTGGTAGTACCCTTATATACACTCTCAGATGTATGGCACTGCCAAACGTGGCAATATGTGTTCTGTGATGGTTTTTGGCATGGTGTTGTTTGTATGGCAATACTTTCGACATTGAAACTTTATTTTGCTGGAGTGGTTTTATTTGCTAGTTGGTTTGGTGGGCATTTTGAAATGGCTTATGATGCAATGAAAGATGTGATGATAAAATTTCAGTCACATATATTGGATTGCGTGCAAGGTAAATTTAGTATTAAAAGGTACAATATTGGAGTTGTTAACAAGTCTTGTTCACAGGTGTGTTTATGCAGATCTTTTTGTATTTTTGGAATTTCTGTGGAATTTTTGGAATGCTGGACTTTGTATGCTCTATGACTCAGAAGATAGGGGAGAGTTTGCTGATGTTTCTGCTGTTTGAAGAAGCACAATGGTAAGTGCACTTTATTTTATTGTTGTTCTTATTTTGTAGAATGTTATGTTCACTTTTTTTTTTTTTTTTTTGCTATCCTTTTTTATTGTTATTGTTGTTTTTTGAATTTTTGTAATTTATTTTAGTTTATTTAGTTGATTTTCATGCAATGCCGAGACTGTGCATGATGTGTAGATTGTGCAATTCGCTGATGTTTATTTAAGTTAAAACAGAACGTTGTGTACATGGTATTGTTTTAAATTTACTGTTGTCATGTTAGCTTATTTTAGCGATATGTGCGTAATTCCTAGATTCCTACGCTGCATAGATTGTGCAATTCTCTGATTTTTTTTATTTTTTTTTTTACATTAAAACAGATTGCTGTGTACATGGATTCTTGTCAAATAATTTTGGTTAGAAGCTTTACATTTTTGCTAACTAAATTTTTTGTTTTTGTTTCGGATTTTTGGCGTAAAATTTGAGTTAAAAATGTGGGTTTTGCATGTACGAAAACCACATTTTTGCAGACATTTTAGGCTTAAAGTTTGAAATGTAGACGTTCTCAATGTTCATCATTACCTAGAAACCTCAAGCATGATATTCAGAGCCTTTTCCCAGATGAGGGTACAGTTCAACCTACAGAAGAGGCTCGAGCTACTAAAAGGCAGTGTTATAAGTGACCGTTCCAAGAACAGGTACACCAAGTACAAATGCCACAGTTGCAAAAACTTTCTTATGTTTAGAAGCGCTCAGCAAATATGCGCTGATTGCTAATTTGTGCAACTAACTAACTTCTGTAAAACAGACTTATCTTACTTAACCAACTTCCAAAAGACTTTATTTTTATAGATTTGATAAATTTATTTTGACAAACTGTGGTTTGGAAAAATTAATACTACTGATATTTAACAGCAGATATATATAATATGTCATACTAATTGACAGAAGTGTATAAAGTTAAAATAAGGTAAAAATAACAGTTTAGCATAAAATCTTGTGTCAATTTTAACAATTAATTGACATAGGTCCCTCTTCTTTAGTACAAAAAAAGTTTTCATACCTGAGTATTTAAAGAGCATAACAGATAACACTTGAAATCGATAAGAGTTATTCAAACTCTTGATCAATCTACAGAACCTTTTTTAATCTCGACCTCTTTTTAACCAAAAAAAAAAAGGAAACTATGAAATGTGCTCTGCAGTTTAGCAGAATAGTAAAAGTAATCCAGGTTTCAAAATAATCTGAAAAACTATCTGAATGTTTTAAGTTTTCAGTGAGGTTTAGCCAGTTGTTAAAAATATAAAATGAAGAATAAGGTGAAGTAGAGTTTAGGATAAAATTCGCAATGAAAGGATTAATGGTATAACATTCTAATTGAGAAATGCAGAGAATAAACTATTAAACATAATAGCCTTTAATTTTTAACAGATATTTTTATATTTAAAAGTTAATGGATTTAAAGGAACATATGGTTTCAAAGGATCAAGATAGATAAGGGGAAACTGTTGCACATAACATCTAAAAGTAAAGTGTAGCAATAAAATCTCATAACTAATTGTCAATTTTTTTGTGAACAGCAATTTTTTTTGTGTTAGCAAATTTAAACAAATCTGTCATTTGACACAAAATGTATCTTAAAATAATAAAACAATAATTTACTACAAAAGTTAAAATAATTATATAAGAAATAAATACAATGAACATTTTAACAGATTTATCATTATTTCTAAGAGGAATACCCAATGGAAAAAAAAAAAAAATTACACTTACCATGCATGTTGCACTAAACCTTGATCAGACCAGCTTTCACAAAATACCAGTGATCTGGAAAATTTGCAGGCAATAATCCAAATTAATCTTTTCTTTTCAGAGAGCTACAGTATCAAAAAAGAGAACACATTAATACAGCATGATAAACTAATTAGCAAACGGTGTAATTAATTACAAGCATCACTTCTGAAATACAATTACACATCTATATGCATTATTTTAAATTTAGGGTGTACACAAAATTTCGCAAATTTCAGATTTTGCAATAGGTGAATGCCTATCAATCACTTAATATCTTATCAGTATGTCTTCTTTATGCTTTTCAGTCAGACTTAATATCAGTCTATAAATATACAAGGAAAAAACATTATAAACTATACCACTATTTCATTTATCACTTCCAATGTTAGTAATTTCAAGACAGTCTTTAATTTTTTTTCTGTCAAAATTATTTTCTATCTGATTTCTAGTCTATTTTGCTGATTCAATTCCTTAAAAAATTAGAAGCTTACTAGTCTTGATAGAAACTCTGAAGAATTTCAAAACATTTAAGGCGGCTTATAACTTTGCTAATATATTTCTATCATTTCATGTTTTTACTCTTACTTGTAATGTATGATTTTTATGCATAATTTAATTTCATTAATATATGAAAGAGTTAAAGAAGAAAATGGTGGATTGTAAAACCTAAATCTTTCAGGTTTCTCTATGTTTCATCTATGTCCCAGATGAAAACATTTTTTTCTTTCATATCATTAGGTATCTTATGTTAATTAATCAGTTATTTATAATATCTTTTTTACTATAACTTCACCTTTATGTAAACCTTACAAGAATACAAATCAGTAATGAGTACTAAACTGAGGTTTTGGAATTTGAGATAGTGTGTTTCTGGTATCGCATATACGCCATATGCTAGTTTGAAGTCAGCTCTAATATTTGCACTTATTCAGCTTTTTGATTTCTTGCTGCCAGTACTTTGATTCTAAAACTCGTGTAGAGTTAATAAGACAGTCTCTAGTAGTATTTAATTGTGTAGTCCTTGACTGCTCTTCAACATTAGATTTAATTTGGACTGTTCTATTTTATTTTGAATCCCCAACAGTTTTGGAAATTGTAGCACAAGACTTATGTTCTAAATTTTGTTTAAATCAAACAGTTATTTTCACATTCTCAAGACTTGTCACTGTTTCCAAATGTAGCGATAGGTTGCTTCGCCTCTGTAAGAGCTATTACACTAAAATACCATTAATAAATCAAGTAGTACAACCCTCCAAATGATGCTAAAAAAAATGAAGCATCACATCACAAAACAAAGAACATTTAGTCTGTCCCCTCCGAAGACTGCAGGCTCCATCAGGAAGTCTGGAAGGATTTGGGTTAATCCTAGACACTATGTGAGCTTTGATAAAACCAGCCATTATATTCGATGTTAGAAGTTTGTCAGTGACATTTTTGGAACATTTAGAGATGCACTTTCTACTTTTTCCTGATTGCAAAATTACATAAGGTCACAATAGCAACTGCAGTGCTTCAAGGACAGCAACTGAGTTGGTACAAAAGCATCAGTAAATTTTTGTTGAGTGATGCAGGCACTGGGAATCTAAGGTTCAAAATATTTAAAATCACCTTTGAGAAATCATTCCCCAGTGGTGAAAGAAAGAGTAAAATCAGAAGCGGAACTGTTTGGAAGATATATCTAACTAAGGTGAAAGAGTTAAGTGAGTTTATATTGAGGAATATACAAGTAGTTACCATACTATATGGGAAGAAATCTGAAGCAAAGACCATACAAATCTTATTGCCAAGGTTATTGTCTCAAATTCAGGATTATGTTGAATTATGGAACTTGGATACACTAGAATATTTAAATGAGCTAGCAGTGAAATTCAAAAGTAAGTGAGTATCAATGAGCATATGCACAGTAGGATATGAGCAGACATTTTTGTAGATCTGTAGCAGAAGGAAATCCAAGGTTTGATAGCAACAGATGTTTTGATAACTAGAAGAAACTTTCATTTGCTAGTGGCTGGTACCAAAATAAATCACAAAAGAGGAAACTGGGGGAAGGTGCTAAGCCTTTAAACTGGTCAGGAATACTGAAATACAGAAAGTACAGCTACCCCGGAGAGAAAAATAATTTCTTTCAAATTCAATTAAATACACTATTCATAGAAAATTTGTCCCACCCAGTGATTCAAATTCTGTTAAATAATGTACCAGCAGATGCATTACTGAGCACAAGGTCACAAAGTAATTTCCTGGTAGAAAAAGTTTGAGGAAAAACTTTAAATGGTAAATAGTGTTTGGCGTCGCACAAACGGGAGTGATTGCGGCCTAAGGTAAACAGTGTAAATGCACAGAGAAAGTAACATTTATATGTGCAGGTAAAAAATGAACACCAGAAAGATGTTTTCTTTGCAGTGAAAAATCTACAGGCTAATGTAATATTGGGGGATGGATATTTTAAAGGCAGAAAGAGCAAAAACTAATTTTCAGGAAAATACTTTGCAACTGGAAATGAATCAGCTGGTGGGAAAAGAAGTCCAGCCACCAGTGACCCATGAGAGACTGAACCTGGAACAGTTGGTAACAGCATTTTTAGATTTATTCGATGATGCCCCAGGGTAGACTCTGGTGGTAAATCCATACCTGCCAACCTCTAAAGATAAAAATTCAGAAGATTTCTCCCCCAAATTCAGAAGGTTTCTCCAAAATTCAGAAGAACACGAAGAATTAATATCATGCTTTGATATTAAAAAAATAACAATTTATACAAATAAAAAAAGAAATTGTACTATGTTAGTAAATCTCAATTAAGTAGTTAACTAAAAAATTTATTAGGAACATAAAACAAGAACTTAAGTGACACAAAAAAATTATTGCATGAATTTAAAGTGCATTTTTGGCTTTAGCCAAAAATCTTTGGAAAATTTCTGTCATAACAATTAGTTTCTCATAACATTTAGCAATTAAAATGTTTTCTAGAGTTTTGGTGAATTGAAGAACGAAACATAGTTTTGTTTTTCTTCACAACACTGAACACTCTCTCGCACTCAGCATTACTGTGTGGAATTACGAGAATCGCACATAAAACTCTTGCTAGTCTATCATATTTTGGTGTTCCATCAGCTCTTTTTATTCTTTTTAAGGTACCAATGAGGACATCAAGTCTATCTTCTCCAGAACTGGCAAAGACTTCAAACTGTGTAAACAAACATTCTGCCAAAATGACATCGGCATCCGAATTCGTAGCCGAATTTGAAAAAAATTCATCCACTTTCTTTGACGTTGTCGAAGCCGAAGCATTAACTTCATGCTTTTTAGATTTAACATGCTTCACAATGTCGCTTCTTCACCGTGACTTATTATGAGTCCACACACGCACACGTTGCAAAATGCATAGTTATTTCCTTTGAAGGATCTTTAATTGTTGGAAATTCGGCTTTGTAGGCAGGCCGAAAATATTGAGAATACAGTTTTTTTAACTCATTTCGTAACAATGACATATTAAGAAAAAAAAAAAAAAATGCGACAATCAAACACGTTCGCTGAGTAATTCCCTTGCTGCTGAAGCAAACGCGAAAAAAAATAATCTGGCACCCATAAAGAAAAGAGTGGGAGAAACAAGTTCTGTGCATTGGATTGGCTGGTTAAGCGGCGAGTTGGGAAGAAACCGCAGGTCACTGGAGTTCGAAGTAGTCTGGTAGCTGGCGGTAAAACACGATGCAACTTGGCAAAAAAAATTCTAAAATTCCGACAAAAATCACTAAAAACACTTGAAAAAGGGAAAAATTCGTAAAACATGGATTACGATCGTAAAATCGTAAAGACAAATGCATTTCGTAAAAAACGAAAAATTCGTAAAAGTTGGCAGGTATGTAAATCACACCACAGAAAGTAGAAATCACCCTCCCACACCCACCTGCCGCAATGATAAGTCAAAGAAGAAATAATAGAACAGCATACGGTTGATCTTTACAATATGGTAAGGTAGTTTTGGCGACATTTGGAGGCGAAAGGTTACTACCTGGGACTGTATAATGTGAGCAGTACTCAGTTCCGATTACGCATTATTTTGTGTGAGGGAATGAGAGATCTGGATATGTCATGTGATATTAATGGACGAATTATGGTCTTTAATCGGAAAAGGGGGGAAATCGGGAAAAAAATCTGGAAATTTGTATTTGGCTTTATCTGTGTGTGTGAAACAGTGTTCGTGAATTTTGGATCCATGGCCATAACTAAAGTGAATTCGAAATGGGTATTTATGTAGTAATTAATGTAGTGCTCATTTATATTTTAAGTGTGTTTTGAATTTAATTATTTTAATTAAATGATGTAGTATTTATGTTGTTTGTAGGAATTTGGTATACGTTTTAGTTGAAGTAACAATGGAAATAAGTTAAATATCTGCAATAAGTATTTGTAATGTTGCGTGATTCGTTGGTGACTGTATAATGTATAGATGATTTAGAGGTAAAATTTTTGGATATTTATTTATTTATATGTGGAAATGTTCATATTTGGAAAGGGTAAATACTTTTTCGCGATCAGGAATTTCATATATGTTCTTTTACCGGGTTAAAGATTGAGATTACATGGGAATATGAAAGTGCGTGCAATGCCATTTTGTGCAATTCTGGAGTTTTTTTAAGTAAAATAAGTCGGCGTGTACATGGTTTATGTGTGTGTTATTTTAAAAACGCGTAAGGAGTATGGTTTGTGTACTTTTCCCCAATTTGCAGTGATATTTGTCAGGATTAAGCAGGTTTGTTAGATAAAATTTCTAGCATAAGTGTAATTCGGCTAGTAGATTTGGAGAATGTTCAGGAGAGAAAAAGAAAAGAAACATGTCTTTACTTCGTGAAGACAAAATGGCGGCGGGAAAAAAAAATAGAGGGTTGCTGTAAGAGAGTTGGTCGCCAAATTTTCGCCAAAAAAACGCCAAGTTACCATAACGTAAAGATCAACCCAGCATACGACATAAATGCTAAAGAATATATTTATAATCGCCTTTAGAGGCCCTTACACTAGCCTTATAGTACTATGTCAAAAGAGAAATAATCTCCCACCTATGGATTTTAAAGCACTGTTTTCTTATTGACCATGGAAAGCTAAATAGCATAATACAATTTCTGATTCATCCTTACCATGTTATTAAGGAAATCATTTGAAAAATCAAATCTACAAAATACATGGCGACGCTAGATCTCACCTCTGGATACTTTCAGATATGTGATATGTGTAAAATCACACAAATGGTGAAAAAAAACGCATTTATTACCAAATCAGGAGTTTATGCTCTACTTAGCGGACCTTTCAGCTTATACGGAGCACCTACCTTGTTTCAAAGAATTTTTGATATTATTCAAAAACCTCTCCTCAGAAAATCTGTTTATTTACTTACATGATATAGTAGTTACTAGTGGAACAATTGCAGATGTAGACACAGAACTTCATTATCTGAGTTATAAGGTATCTGAAAAGGAAATCAAAATGAATTGCAAAATCAATTAAAATAAACAGATTCTAAAATTGTAGCATAAACAATTATTGATTACCTAATACATGCCCTCATTTTTCAGCTTGTGCTCCTATTACAGTCAAAAGTCATTAATCCATACTCGTCGGGACCTCGGCGATTCCGGATTATAGATCATCAGTTTAAATCTCGTAAGATGACATGCAGAAATTCTAAAATTAAAAATATGAAACCGTAATTTATGAAATAAAGAACAATTATGATGTAAAGGTATCAAAATTTACAAAAAAAAAAAAAAAAAAAAGCTTAATATTTATTTGTTTACTTTATCAAAGATTTCTTTCAATGTAAGTTGTTTAAGTTGCTTAGTTTTATGTGATAATACTGTGTCATTGTGGCACATGCGCAGAAAGATTTTAGCTTTGAGGTCGGGATTATAGATCATTCCGGATTATGGGTGTCCGAATTAACAACTTTTGACTGTATATTATAGATCTTTTGTCAAAAATTTTGCTCATATGGCAGAGCCATCATCAAAAAATAAAATGAATAAATTTTGAAAAAGAATGAATGAGTTCAAAAGAAATAAATATAAGTGAAAATTTTAAAATTATTTTCTTTGAATATTCAGTTGATTTTATGTCTTGGTGTAACAGTGGCTGTGTATGTTAAGTTTTGCCTCAAGTGTGGACATCCTAGTTCTTATTCAGCAAGAAGCTTTTTCGATTTAGTTATGTATCCACCTTGAAGGAATTTTATTTTTAGTATAAACATGATACTAGGATTTTAGTCCAAGAGAATGTCTTTTGAATGCCAATGAATTTTAAACGTTTTTCTTCAAAAGCAGATTGTTAATTGTTTTGTAAAAGTTGTATGTTCTATTGCCACTAGATGTAGCCATATGTCTGCTATAGCGGGCTTTATTGACACTGGGGAATGTCGACTTTCATTTGTTGCAGCCTTTTCTCATTTTTGTTATTTTGTTTTAGAGTGGCTAGCACATCGCGCAGCTATACCACAGTACCGGAGTTCGATCCCTGGGCTGGGCAAGATTGACTTAGCCCTTCATCCCTTGAATAGATTGATAAAATGAGTACCAAGTTCACTTGGAGACTAAACACCAGGGGTCCTGCAACAAGCTGGCCACTTGCCCATGGCATATGCTGATGCAACCCGGGCCCAAAGTCAAGAAAGCAGATTTCGAGGCACTGCAGGCCGTGGTCCACTAAGGGCTGTTGTGCAACTGAGTTTTATTTTGTTTTGGAAACAAAGCAGACGTTGTTGTTTGAGTAATACAGTCAAAAGTCATTAATCCGGACTCGTCGGGACTTTGGCGATTCCGGATTATAGATTTTTCCGGATTATAGATCATCAGTTTAAATCTGGTAAGATGGCATGCAGAAATTCTAAAATTAAAAATATGAAACCGTAATTTATGAAATAAAGAACAATTATGATCTAAAGGGTATCAAAATTTACAAAAAAAACAAAAAAAGAGCTTAATATTTATTTGTTTACTTTATTAAACATTTCTTTCAATGTAAGTTGTTTAAGTTGCTTCGTTTTATGTGATAATACTTTCTCTTTAATTCTATAAACAGACATAATTTCTTGTTCAGTTACAAAGTTCCGCTGTTCAAGTCCCGTAATTGCTGTGCCGAGAATACCGACTAACTTGTCAATCGAAATTTTTTCGTTTTCACTAACCTCTCTGTCACCTTCTTCATGTCTTTATCCACTTTTTGTTTGATGGACATCGAAACATACTTTCGTTTTGTAGATCCTTTGGGAGCTCCAGCATCGGAAATTCTATTTGACATAATCGAAAGTTCAAGTTTACTTTTATAAAATTGCTCTTACAGTCTGCAAAAAATAATAAGCCGGATCCAACTCGAAGATTAAGGAACAACGCAATCATCAACATTAACTGAAATAGATAATTAGATAATTTTAGCTTATACCGTCCGTTATACATAAACGCGCACGCGAAAACGTATTCTGCGCTTGTGCACACGCATATGCGCAGTCGTAAAGGTCTTACGTGCGCGTGTAAACGCCTACGCGCATGTGTCAACGCGGCGCATGCGCAGAGTTCTTAGCTTTGAGGTCCGGATTATGGGTGTCTGAATTAATGACTTTTGACTGTATAAATAAACAGAGCTAGCCATTAACTGTGCGAGCTGATATAAACATTTCGGGATGTTCTCGAGGCTTCTGAATATTTTTTTTTCTGTTTTTGGCAATATGGGGGATACATGTGCTATTAATTTAGGTTTT